ATGAACAAGTCCAGGACCAGAATCAATTGGATAAAACTTATCCAGGATGAACCGGTCCAGGATGAACCGGTCCGGGACGAACTGGTCCAGGGTGAACAGGTCCAGAATGAACAGGTCCAGGACCAGAATGAATTGGATAAAACTGATCCAGGATAAATAGGTCCAGGATGAACAGGTCCAGGATGAACTGGTACAGGACCAGAATGAATTGGATAAATAGGTCCAGGATGAACAGGTCCAGAATGAACAGGTCCAGAGTGAAATAGTCCTGGAAGAACAGGATCAAAATGAACTGGATGGAACAGATCCATATGGACCAGTATTAGAATATACCAAAAAAATGGGTGGTTATAATATAACATGTACAGGCTGGGTTAATGGGTTAATGGGTCAATGGCTTAATGGCTTAATGGGTCAATGGGTTAATGGGTCAATGGGTTAATGGAATGAACTGGTCCAGGACCAGAATGAACTGGGTGGAACAAGTCCAGGGAAATTTGCCTCCATATGGACCAGCATTAGAATATACCAGATATAAGTGGTTATAATATAACATGTACAGGCTGGTTAATGGGTCAATGGGTCAATGGGTTAATGAGTCAAACTGCCTTCTACAGGTGCCCGGAGGGGCCACACCAGGTCTTGGTCTGAGCCCATGGATCCCTCCAGTGTGCTGCTGCTGCTGCTGGGGGTCAGCGGGGTGCTTCTGCTGGACAACCGGCCCAATTTTGTCCTCATGATGGTGGACGACCTGGGAATTGGAGATCTGGGCTGCTATGGCAACGACACCCTGAGGTAAGATGAGAGGAACTGTAGCTTAGCGATACTGGGTGAAAAGCAGGGAAGATTAACCGGAAATGTTTTGATAATTAAGCAATCGGGCTGAATTTGTTTGTTGGTTTCCTGTTGTCATGGAAATCTATAGTTCTGATCCCTGTCCAAAGCAGACGAAAAAAGGTTTTAAACCCAAACATCTATCTATCTATCTATCTATCTATCTATCTATCTATCTATCTATCTATCTATCTATCTATCTATCTATCTATCTATCTATCTATCTATCTATCTAT